GAGAGGAACTGGCTTTGTTTTCTTGTGCTATCCTTGTTTCTGATGGAAGGTGAAAGGTGCAATTTGATAGCACCGCCTCCCCCACCATGTCTCCAGTTCAAAAGAAAATGTCTGCAATTCAGGACTCCTGGTGGTGTGTTTGTTTTTTGTTTAAGTTTTTCCTTTTGTGTGTTTCATCTGGTTCACGGGCTCTAGATCAATAGGGCTCTATTGAATCCTTCATTTTACTGATTTCCAGCAAGTCCCTGAAGCAAGAAGGAGAAACAAGAATGGGAAGAGTGGGTGGGAGGGAGGAGGAAGGGGGCCTCATCTCATGCACACACGCTGTGGAGTGGCAGATGGCACCTCTCCCAGAGTTGCAGAGGATACACCTGCTCATCCGAGTAGATAAAACCTCTTGTGACGTGAGCTAAAGTCTGTCCCACAGGTGTGTTTTTTTTTCTTCAAAAGGCAACTGGACCTTGTTTGACGTTGTTCTCTTGAAGACATTTCCCTTCTCATTCAGGAAGCATCTTCAGTTGTGACTGAATGGTGGAGGATAGAAGTATTTATATTCCTGGCAGTCATCTGGAAGCTTTCAAGAAGAGCCACCTTTCAGAAATGGTGTAGGGCCTCCTGTTTGGGTGGGGGGGTTGGACTAGATGACCTACAAGGTCCCTTCCAACTCTGTTAATCTATGATTTGGTTGTAAGTACTTGTTGAGGCCTCTTGGGGGTTTATTTGTGCCCTCAGGGTCACCTGAATCAGAGTGCAAATGGGTGTGAAACCTTCTTTCTTGGAACTGCTGAAAGGATTGTGTTGTAAACTGGTGATAGGGGGTGTTGTATCCCTCCCCCTCTGTTGAGGGAGGGCTGCTCAGTTTGGACCTAGATGGCCTCTTTCAAACCAGAATGTGGATTTTTGCTGTCTTCAAAAGACTGACATTTGTCTTTTAAATGAAGATGGACTGCTGAATCTACTGATGAGTTTGTTCTCCTATGTCCGTGATGGCAAACTTGTGGCACGCAGAGCCATTTGTGCCGCCACGTGAGCCTCAGGCAAACTTACCTCACTGCGCATGCGCGCGCCTCACAGAGGCTCGGAAAAAGCCTCTGCAGGCTTTGCAGGCCGAATAATAGGCCCGTTTTGTCACTTCCTGTAATACCGGAAGTGACAAAACGGGCCTATTATTCGACCTGAAAAGCCTTACAGAGGCTTTTTCCAAGCCTCTGGGAGGCCGAAAAAGGCCTCAAACCAGGTGAAAAATCAGCGGTGAGGCGCAGTGCAGGTAAGGGGGGTTTGCGCGTGCATACATGGATGGGAAGTGCGGGGCACATTGCATTCTGGGTGCTGGCACACGAGTGTGTGCGTGCTTAATGCGCACACCATTTTTGGCACAGGAGCCCGAAAAGGTTAGCCACCACTTTCCTATGTTGTGCCATGCATTTGTGAGGTGGTTGTTTTGTTTCTTCAATGCGCAGATCTGCACAGATCTCACTGCATTGTACTGCATGTGGGTGTTTTGTCCCTTGGGGTGGACAAGCTTCTGTCTTAGTGTATTCTTGGCTTAGAGTGACTGTTGCCATCAAGAAGAATGTGGCACAACCTGATAAGTGATGTTCATGTTGAGGAAACCATTATTCTCTCGATGGATGAATTGCAAAGAACTATTGCTATCACTAAACCCAATCCACTGGCTTTGCAGCTCTGTTGTGTATCTACCTTGTGTACCTCCATGCCTACTTTCGCTTTCTTCTGTTGGATTGTCTGGAGCAATTTTATCCTTCATTAACCAAGACTTTCCTCTGTCCTGGTTGGTTGGCTGGTTGGCTGGCTGGTTTCGTGTTTTTTTTTTCAAGATCATAAAAACGGCAGGATCCGTGCAAGTTAATTAGCTCTTTCGGTTCTTTGGAAAATTAAAGTAGGGTTTGAGGTTGAATGGCAGCATTGTTTTTTCGGAGAAGTCTGGCTGCATTTTAGGACTCTGTACACAATATGATGAGATGAGGCTGGCAGAAGGCAGCCACTTTTGGCAAACTTTTCTTGATGGCCTCAAGTTGAGAAACGTGCTTTGAAGAGCCAAAATACTCTGTTTGCATTGACACCCCTGTGTAGAGAGCAGATTGTTGAGACCAGAAAAAGTCACTTCCATATTCTTTCAGAATGGGTCTTCCTCTTTGGAAACATCTATAACGTTGCTAAACTCTTGGGTAATACTAAGAAATAGAGCATGTATCTTGGAGGGTTTGTGGGCTAAACCTGGATTTCGACAGTTCCCTTTGAATGGGAAAAGAAACCAGGTTTGATGTGTCGGTAGCTCCATTCTGAAATGCTTCTACTGGATGGTATGGAGATCCTTAACTATCCCCTGCTTGGCCCTCAACCTCTGAACGATCCAGAACAGATGCCAAGTGGTTTGCACTGGGGGAACTGAGGAAGATATGTCTAGCAGGTGTCAGACCTACCTTGTCCAGGTTCAGAATCCAAACAAGATCAGGACAGGTTTACCATTGGAGTGGAGACCCAGCAAAAGAGTTTTCTAAGTTTGTAGGCTAGGCTAGGAAGTCAATCCCAGAAGGAGAACCACTGGGATGTCTATGAAGTCATCAAGAATTGCAACCAAATGGGTAATGTTATGAGTTTTTTCTCTCCTTGTTCCTATTTGCATATATATATCTTGGTTTTTTCCCTTCTGAAATCCAAGTCAACGTCTCTCCATCCTCTCCAGATTGTGTTTCAGTCCTCTGGTTTCTTTTCCTAGGGAGAACAATTTCATCAAGGACTTTCCCCAACTGGCTGATGCGTTGGTGGTCATTCCTCTACCGGTTGAGGAACAGTGTCGTGGTGTGCTATCAGAACCTCTTCCCAACCTCCAACTGCTAACTGGTAGGAGCCTTAACTTTTCTACGGTGGCCCCATAGTCATCGTCCTCCTCCCCTCCCCCTCCTCCTCCTCCTTCTTCTTCTATTAATTCTAATTCTACTCTTCTCCTTCTCCTCCTATTCCATTCCTATTCTATTCTCTATTCCCTATTCTCTTCTCTCTTCTTTATTCTATTCTGTTTTATTCTATTAATTCTAATTCTATTCTTCTTCCTCTTCTCCTTTTCTCCTCCTCCTCCTCCTCCTCTTTCCCTTCCTCCTCCTCCTCTCCCCAACCTACTCTTTTCTAGCACTGATAATGTTCCCTAGTTGGGTCATGAAACATCTGCCAAGAAAACCACCAAGTTCAGAGATTACCAAGGACCTCACAGTTGTCCTCCTCCTTCCTTCCTTCCTCCTCCTTCCTTCTTCCTCCTCCTCCCCCCTCCCCAAACTCTACTCCTTTCTAAGACTGATGATGTTCTCTAACTGGGTAATGAAGCATCTGTTAAGAAACCACCAAGCTCAGGGAGCATCAAGAACCCAACAGTCCTTCTTCCCCTTCTCCGTCCTCCTCATCTCCCCAAACCCTACTCTTTTCTAGCACTGATGAGTGCTAGTTGGGAAATGAAACACCTGCAAGGAACCTACCAAGCTCAGGGGGCACCAAAGACCCCACCATTCAACCCTGAGGTATTCTCTTCTATTGGCAGGGGACATTCAATACGATGAAGCTATGGGATACCCTATGGTCCAACACTGGAGGGTCCGAAGTAACCTGTACAGAGTGAAGCTCAGCACAATCGCCCTCTCGTCAGGTGAGCAGAACCCATTTGTAAGCATATTTTCAGATTTTTTTTTTAAAAAAAATGGCTGGTGCACCTGGCAGAGACCCTGTTCTGTAGCATCTTACTGGTAAGATGTGTAACTCCAATATCCATTGCAAAACTAACTCTCTCTCTCCCTCTCTCTCCTTTCCCTTCTCCTCCTCCTCCTTCTCTGTTCCTCTTCTCTCTCTTCTCCTCCTCCTCCTCTCCTCTCCCTCTCTCTTCTCCTTCTCCTCTTCCCCTCTCTTCTCCTCCTCCTCTTTCTCTTCTCCTCCTCCTCCTCCTCCTCCTCCTCCTTTTCTTCCTCCTCCTCCCTTCTCTCTCACCTTCTCCTTCTCTTCCTTCTCCTCCTCCCCTCTCTCTCTTCTCCTTCTCCTCTTCCCCTCTTCCCCTCCTCCTCTCTCTTCTCCTCCTCCTCCTCTTCTCCTTTTCTTCCTCCTCCTCCTCCTCTCTTCCTCCTCCTCCTCTCTTCTCTCTTACCTTCTCCTTCCTTTCTCTTCCTTCTCTCTCCTTCTTTCCCTCCTCCTCCTCCTCCTCTTTTCTCCTTCTCCTCTTCCCCTCTTCTCCTCCTCCTCCTCTCTTCTCTTTCTCCTTTTCTTCCTCCTCCTCCTCTCTTCTTCCTCCTCCTCTTCTCTCACCTCCTTCCCTTCTCTTCCTTCTCTCCTTCCCCCCCTCCTCCTCCTTCTCTCCCTTCTCTCTCTCCTTCTCACCTTATCTTCCTAGGATTTGCAAATGTCCTCAAGATTCTGAACAAGGACAGCAGCCGTGAGGAGCTGCTGTATTTCATTCAGCAGTATGGCTCCCATTACATAGCAGAGGGCTTATACGGCTCTGAATTTAGCTGCACCATTCACTTCCCAAGCAAGAAGATACAACAGCAGCTCTGGTTGCAATATCAGAAAGGTAAGCAGCTTGAGAAATTGAGCGGGCACTTTCTTAATCTTTCGCTATACTTGGGTTTTAATTTTGAACTGGACAAATCCAGTTGGAAGACCTGGAACGACTGTGTGCATATTCCAATTTTGCAACATTCCTATGGTCCTCTTTAGACCAGGAAGTCTGTTTCTGGCACAATTATCCAGAATTGCAACGTTTTCTCCCTGCAGAAGGGAAGAAAGGAAGGGAGGGAGGGAAAGAAGGAAGGGAAAGAAGAGGAAGAAGGGACAGAGGGAAGGGAGGGAGGGAGGGAAGGAAAGAAGGGAGGGAAAGAAGAGGAATGAGGGAGGGAAGAAAGGGAGGGAGGGCTGGAAGAAAGGGAGGGACGGAAGGAAGGGAGGGAGGATAAGAGAAAAAGGAAGGAAGGAGATAAGAGAAAGAAGGAAGGAAGATATGAAAAATTGAAAAATGGGGAGGGAGGGAGGGAAGGAAGGAAGGAGATAAGAGAAAGAAGGAAGATATGGAAAATATTCTGAGGAAGGAAGGAAGGAAGGAAGGAAGGAAGGAAGGAAGGAAGGAAGGAAGGAAGGAAGGAAGGAAGGAAGGAAGGAAGGAAGGAAGGAAGGAAGGAAGACATTACGTTGCATCCCAAACTGTCTGTTTTCCTATTATTGTCTCACAGTGATGCCACTGGATCATGAATATTTATTTTGAATGCCTTGAATCGCCTACTTAGTTGTGAAGTCACATCCCCGCTCCTAGTTAATTAAGATTTATTCACCATTACTTTTCATTGTTGAGTTGGCTTTGTGGCCTTCTGCAGCTTCTTGGCCCATCTTTTAATTCAAGGCCCTCTCAAGTGAGGAGACGGAGAAGCACGTCTTGCTCTAATTTTACCCACCTCTCTTTCCTTTCTCTCAAGTCCATCCCCACACCTCGTTTTCGCCTGCAGGCCCCCTCAGTGCTGTCTCCGTTTGCCTGCCTGCCATGCTGTGATCCTTCTCATCGGCTTTCCAGCCCCCTCAAAATTGCCCGGGGTAATTTGGGCAGGTTTTTTTATATATATTTAGAAATGTGGCATAATTGAGCTGTCTGGCAAAAGTTCCATTTTTATTGCTTTTGACAATGATGGTCTTTAAAAAAGGTGTATTAATTCACCCCCAGATGCATTGTGGAATGTCATAAATAACCCGGCACATCATTAAAGTGAGCAGTAAACTTTGGGAGTTTGAAGCGATGCCATTAGGATAAAATTCTGGAGGTTCTCAGGTTTGCTGTTGCCAGGAGAGAGAGAAAGAGGGAGGGAGGAAAGAAGGAAAGGAGATAAAAGAAAAAAAGGAAGGAAGATATGGAAAATATTCTGAGGAAGGAAGGAAGGAAGGAAGGAAGGAAGGAAGGAAGGAAGGAAGGAAGGAAGGAAGGAAGGAAGGAAGGAAGGAAGGAAATAAAAGAAGGGAGATATGCAAAGTATTCTAAGAAGGAGGGAGGGAGAAGAAGGGAAGGGGAGGGAGGAAGGAAGGAAGGACGGCGATAAAAGAAAGAAGGAAGATATGAAAAAGATTCTGAGGAAGGAAGGAAGGAAATAAAAGAAGGAAGACATGGAAAATATTTTAAGAAGGAGGGAGGGGGAGGAAGGAAGGAAGGAGATAAGAGGAAGATATGGAAATATTCTAAGATGGAGGGAGGGAGGGAGGAAATAAGAGGAAAAGGAAGATAGAAAATATTCTAAGATGGAGGGAGGGAGGGAGGGAGGGAGGGAGGAGATTAGAGGAAGATAGGGAAAATATTCTGAGAAGGAGTGGGGAGGGAAGAAGGAAGGAAGGAGGGAAAGAAGGAGATAAGAGGAAGAGGAATATATGGAAAATATTCTGAGGGAGGGAGGAAATAAGAGGAATATATGGAAAATATTCTAAGTTGGAGGGGGGAGAGAGGGAGGGAGGAGATTAGAGGAAGTTATGGAAAATATTCTGAGAAGGAAAAAAGGGAGAGAGGGGAGGGAGGGAGGGAAGGAAAGAGGCAAGAGAAAGAAGGAAGGAAGTTATGGAAAATATTCTGAGAAGGAAGAAAAGAAGACATTAATTACTTTGCTTCCCAAACTGTGTAGTTTCCCACCATGCTGCCACCGGATCGTGATTATTTTGAATTGCTTGAATTGCCTGCTTATGTTGTGAAGTCACATCCCCGGTCCTAGTTAAGGAAGATTTATTCCCCATTACTTTCATCGTTTGCAATTTCTTGGGCCATCCTTTAATTCAAGGCCCTCTCGAATTGAAGACGGAGAGACCTCTGGCCCTCCTCTCCTTTTCTACCCACACCGCAGCGACTGGAAACCCAGCCCCACCACGTTCAAACTGCAGAGAAATTCAGAGATTACATCTATTGTGCCACCCACCTCTCTTGACAGATGGCTTTCCAAGATTCTTTTAAACTCTTCTGTTAAAAATAAAATAAGATGTAATTTTCTCCCTCCCACTTTCCAATGACAACCAGAAACAGCTTTTCGTAGGTTTTACCCATTTTTTTCCACCTTTACTTCTGGCCATTGCAGTCATCAGGCACCGCGTCTGCTTTCTCTTCCCATTAACTATTTTCTCTCTATATATATATATAAAAGCGAAATACCACTCAGGCATCATCACAAAATCTCCAGAACCGTAAAGCCTACAAACTTGAAATTTGGCTCGTATGTTCCTCTTGGCTTCTAGGGGCTCACTAAGAAAGAATTTTTCAAGTAGTTTTTTTCGGTAGTTCGATCCTGACCATCTCAAGGTGGACTCAGCCTTCCATCCTTCCAAGGTGGGTAAAATGAGGACCCAGGTAGTTCTTCCCCAAACCCCAAAAACTTTAACCTTAGACTGTCTACTATTGACCTCACCCCTTTCCTAAGAGGTCTGTAGGGGGCGTGCATAAGCGCACCAACGTGCCTACCGTCCCTGTCCTGTTGTTTCTCTTATTCTTCTTTTATTTTTCTTATATGTACCCATTTCATGTATTCACAACTATGTATACACTTATACTTATCTTGTAAACAATTGGCAAATCAAATAAATAAATAAATAAATAAATAAATAAATAAATAAATAGTTGGGGGGTAATAGGCTGACTCCGTAAACCACTTTGAGAGGGCTGTAAAGTACCATAAAGCGGCATATAAGTCTAAGTGCTATTGCTAGCTGAGTTATAAAGTATTATTAAATACAAAGTAAATAGAAAAGCAGTGGGCGGGGGAGAAGGGGAAATCTTGCTTGCAGTCCACAAAAAATAACACATCACAATTGCGGCCTGCTTCCAAATGGCGCATGTGCCACATTTGGGGACATTTCCCCCCCCCCCACCCCAGCCTGCACACTCAATTCAGGTGTTGCAATTTTTATTTGCTTTTTGTTTTTCTGGCAGCAAATGTATTCCTAGCTTGCTCTCTCTCTCTCTCTCTCTCTCCCTGCTTGTTGGGGTCTTAAAGCAAAGATGAATGGCCGGTTTTACTCCGGCGGCAAAGCAAGCGGGGTGGGGAGGAAATGCTGAAGGAGGGCTGGCACCCCGTCCTGGCGATTAATCATCTTTGCTGCATAAATTTCCAGGAATAAATATCAAACCGGGAGACAAGGTGAGGTTGGGAAGGAGGCAGCCGGCTCTGAATCATGCATCGCATTTGCTCAGTCTTGGCGTGCAGTTAGTTGTTGGGCTCTCTGTGGAGTTTCCACTGGAGGCTGTTTTGAAAACAAAGGGCCTGGCTCTACACACACACACACACACACCTTTGTACAGGGTCATATTGACATTAATCCTTCATAAGTCCTTCTTTCTTTCCCCTCCCTACTTTTGTTCCTCTCCTCTCCCCCCTCCAGAATCCTTCCCTTCCCTCCTTCTCTTCCTTCCTCCTTTCCCTCCCTCAGAATCCTTCCTTCCCCTCCCTCTT